GGCACAGTGGCTCACGCCTGTAATCCCAGCACTTTGGGAGGCCAAGGTGAGAGGATCACCTGAGGTCAGGAATTCGAGACCAGCCTGGCCAACATGGTGAAACCCCATTTCTACTAAAAATACAAAAAATTAGCTGGGCATGGTGGCGAGCAACTGTAATCTCAGCTACTCAGGAGGCTGAGGCAGGAGAATGGCCTGAACCCAGGAGGTGGAGGTTTGCAGTGAGCTGAGATCACGTCATTGTACTCCAGCCTGGGCAACAAGAATGAAATTCTCTCTCAAAAAAGAAAAAAAAAAGATGGATCCCAGAAGAGCAAGCAAGTCCATGAAAGGGTTCAATCTCCTGTTTTCTAGAGATGGAGTTATAAAACTGCAGCTGAAAGGCCAAATCCAGCTCACTACCTATGTTTGCAAATAAAGCTTTATTGGAACATATAAGCCACACTCATGTGTTTATGTGTTGTCTAGGGCTGTTCTCACAATACAGTGGCAGAGCTGAGTAGCTGCTACACAGATTACATGTCTGGCAAAACTCCAATATTTATCATCTGACCCTCTACAGAAAGTTTGCCAACTCCTGCCCTAGAGTATCTGTGAAGCCACCCTTCTGAGATGCCCCCAGTCTTAACCACTTCCTCCTCAAAATGACAGCTGAGTCTAGTGACAGCTCAACCCACCCTACCACCATGGCTGCAAACCTAATATTGACAAAGGCCAGCCTTGGAGAGGGAAAGTGCAGGTTGGCCCAGCCTGAGCCCTATCCCGCCTCCCTTGCTGACCTCTTACTCACCACCTCCGTAGAATACCACCATGCCAGCTACCATAAGCACTGGATGCCAGTTGAACATGTAGATGCTGCCATTCCAGGCAAAGCCGCCACGCCAGTACTGCATCCAGTAGACCGTGAAGAGGATGCACATGGAGCCCAGGGACCCCAGCACCAGGCAGGACAGGTAGAACCATCCTGATGCCATTCTGATGATGCACTCCTAGAAGGAGGAGAAGTCACAAGTCTCCACTGGCTCAGGTGCGCCCAGTACTCTGGCTAAAGGAAGTGACACTGATTCCGCTCTTGGCCTGTGGGATGGAATCTTTTTGCTTCAGTTCCCCTGCACCAGCCTAGGCACCGCCCCCTTGAGGCCTCAATGCCTGAGTGGGCCCGATCTTTAGTTACCATGACTGAGGCCACGCCCCAGCACCTGGCAGTGCTCAGACAGAGAAGCAAGCTCAAGGCTGTGGCTGGCCCTGGAGAGGCCCAGATGCCACGGCCCAGAGTCCTGGAATTAGTCTCCCCTCACAGGATCAGAGGGTAAAGAATTACCTCCCCATATCCCCCAGGAAAAAAGGGACAGGAATCAAAGTCCAGGCTAAATCACCAAAATGCCCAGGCTCTGGGTTCTAACATGAGGAGGCAAAAATTACAATCTGAAAGGAGGAAATCCCCCACATTACACTAGACAGGAAGGAGTCCCATGGGCTTCCACTTGCACAGAAAAGTTCTTCCCCAGAGAGTGAGCTCTATGGGGCTAGTCCTCATTGGAGAGGTAACCAGGCCTTCACTCCACTGCCCACATTCCACACCTTGAACCAGGTGATGCCTCTCAGCTGTCTCTAGGCCTGAGACTTCTGCTTTCTCTTCCTCTGGGGAAAGTCCAGAGAAGAAAAGAGGAAGCAACAACTCATGGTCTAGAAAGCAAGAGGTTTATTTTGAGATTTCCGCAAGTCCTTGATAAATCCAGAAACCAACCCTGGTTTCGGGAATGACAAATAAAGCCCTGAGCAGTTGTTCGTAAACACTATGCAAGTGGGCAAAGCTGCAGGACTGGCCCTGCTGTCAGCTAATATGTAAGCAGCTCGGGCCCAGGGTTCAAGGGAGTCACCCTGTCCCATGGACTCACACCAAGAAGGCAAGAATGTGGCTTCCTGCTTTGAGGCCCCTCATGCTGAACCAGCTAACAGAGAAGAAATAGCCAATAGCCCCCATGGAGGTAAAACACTTGACGGCTCACCTTTAGCCCTAATGATAGACTCAGAGAACTGGCCTGGGCTCCAGTTCCTGCAAAATGGGCACCTTGAGCAAATCACTTAACATTTGCAGGACTCACCTGCAAGAAAAGCATGGCAAAAAGAATAATTGAACAATAAGAATATCGAACACCACCAGGTGTGGTGGCTCACGCGTATAATCCCAGCACTTTGGGAGGCCAAAGAGGGCAGATCACCTGAGGTCAGGAGTTTGAGACCAGCCTATTATGATGAAACCCCATCTCTACTAAAAATACAAAAAAAAAAAAAAATTAGCCAGGTGTGGTGGCAGGCACCTATAATCCCAGCTAGTCGGGAGGCTGAGACAGGTGAACTGCTTGAACTTGGGAGGTGGAGGTTGCAGGGAGCCGAGATCATGCCACTGCAATCCAGCCTGGACAACAAGAGCAAGACTCTGTCTCAAAAAAAAAATAATAATAATATTGAAGACACAAGATCCCATTTACTCCTCTTAACCCTGGGAGGCATATTTTCCATGAGAAAACTAAGGCTCATAGAGATTAAGTAATCAGCATTAGGACCCAGTGAGTGGGTAGAGAATTTCAAACCTTTCTATGTTTAGCCTCAAGGCCCATGCTTCTTCCTTGACCACAGGTTGTTAGATCAAGTGAGTAAATGTATGTAGCACATTGTAGAAGTCAAGTATTAGAATTCTTGGCTGGGCACAGTGGCTCACGCCTTTAATCCAGCACTCTGGGAGGCCAAGACAGGTGGATCACCTGAGGTCAGGAGATGGAGACCAGCCTGATCAACATGGTGAAACCCCATCTCTACTAAAAATACAAAATTAGCCTGGTATGGTGGTACATGCCTGTTATCTCAGCTACTTGGGAGGCTGAGACAGAAGAATCACTTGAACAGGGGAAGCAGAGGTTGCAATGAGCTGAGATTGTGCCATTGCACTCCAGCCTGGACAATGAGAGTGAAACTCTGTCTTAAAAAAATTTTTAGTCATTACCATCATAGCACTTGATTCTAACTGCTAACAAAACCTGTGGCTCATGTTTCTCTTGCCTGCCCAGGCCTCAGTGGCCCTCAGCCATGCCATGCCATGCCAGCTCTCCCCATGCTAGGGGTCCACCTAATCAGGAAAAGACGCCAGACTTTCACAAAGTGACCAAAGTTGGCACTAATCTCTGAGAAAGGAAGGTCTGGTGAGGTCAGGATTGCTCATACCTGCAATACCAGCATGTTGGGAGGCCATGGCAGGTGGATCACCTGATCACCTGAGGTTGGGTGTTCAAGACGAACCTGGCCAACGTGGTGAAACCCCCATCTCTACTAAAAATACAAAAATGGCCGGGCATGATGGCTCACGCCTGTAATCCCACCACTTTGGGAGGCCATGGTGAGTGGATCACCTGAGGTCAGGAGTTCGAGACCAGCCTGGCCAACATAAAAAATTGAGTAAAAAATTTTTAGTAGTGAAACCCAGTCTCTACTAAAAATACAAAAATGGCTGGGCGTGGTGGCTCACAAGTATACTCCCAGCATTTTGGGAGGCTGAGGTGGGCAGATGAAGAGGTCAGGAGTTTGAGACCAGCCTGACCAACATGGTGAAACCCCATCTCTGCTAAAAATACAAAAATTAGCTGGGCATAGTAGCACATGCCTGTAGTCCCAGCTACTCAGGAGGCTGAGGCAGGAGAATCACTTGAACCCAGGAGGCGGAGGTTACAGTGAGCTGAGATCGAGCCATTACACTGTAGCCTGGGCGACAGAGTGAGACTCTGTCTCAAAAAAAAAACAAAAACAAAAATTAGGTGGGTGTGGTGGCGCGTGCCTGTAATCCCAACTACTAGGGAGACTGAGGCAGGAGAATTGCTTCTTGAACCTGGGAGGCAGAGGTTGCAGTGAGCCAAGATTGTGCCATTGCACTCCAGCCTGGGCGAGAGAGGAAGACTGTCTCAAAAAGAAAGAAAAAGAAAAAGAAAAAAAGAAAGGAAGGTCCAAGGGCTGGAGGGAAAAGTTTCCTTGAAGCTGGCAGGAGAAAATCATGCCACCAGCTTCCTAGAAGCTTTATGACTCAACTGTGTAACTCAGAGATTTGCTACCCAGCCTCAGAACTGCCCCCTCAATTCCTCCAAGGACAGAGGACGTTTCAGGTCACCAGATGTTCACCTAAAACACTCTCCATCCCTCACTGAAATATAAGAGATCTTGATCATCAGGCCCACTCATTTGACAGTATCTACTTCCACAACTGTTTTTTTTTTTCTTTGCAAAAGGAAAATTAAATGCAGTCCAAAAGGATCTGTAGCCACATTCTAGAAAAGGTCCTGGTTTACTGCTCTGTGACAGACTTAGCGTAGACCCTGAGCACACTTTCCTGACAGAGAGCTGGAAAGTTATAAAATTCTCTGCTCACAATACACAGATAAGCCCTCCTACTTCCTGAAATAGAGCAAAGCAGGAGAAAAGGAAGAATGCAGTGAAGGGCCAGCAAGTGATCCATGCCTGTAAACCCAGCACTTTTTGGGGAAGCTAAAGCAAGAGGATTACTTAAACCCAGGAGTTCCAGGCAGGGTACAGTGGCTCACACCTGTAATCCCCGCACTTTGGGAGACCTTGGCAGGTGGATTACCTCAAGTAAGGAGTTCGAGACCAGCCTGACCAACATGGTGAAACCCTGTCTCAACTAAAAATACAAAAATTAGTCGGGCACGGTGGAATGCACCTGTAGTCCCAGCTACTTGGGAGACTGAGGCACGAGAATTGCTTGAACCCAGGAGGCAGAGGTTGTAGTGAGCCAAGATCGCGCCACTGCACTGCAGCCTGGGCGACAGAGATAGACTCTAAAAATAAATAAATACATAAATACCCAGGAGTTCCAGGCCAGCCTGGGCAACAGTGAGCCCTCATCTCTACAAAAAAAAAAAAGAAAAAAAAAATTAGCTAGGTGTGGTGGTGTGCAACTGTAGTCTCAGCTACTCAGGAGGCTGAGGTGGGAGGATGGCTTGAGCCTAGGAGGAGAAGGCTGAAGTGAGCTGAGATCCAATTACCACACTCTAGCCTGTGTGACAGGGCTAGACTCTGTCTCAAAAACAAACAAAAAGCAGTGAAAACTTCAATGCAAATGCTTGAAAATATCCTCTCATCTGTTCTAAGAGGTCAGTTTGGGCTGTGATCCCAGGGTGTGCTCACCAAGCTTTGGCCTCCTGTTGTGCCCTCACTTTGCAGAGCCCCAGGAGGCTCTGTTCTAAGGCAGGAGTCAGCAAGCTCTTCTGTAAAGGTCCAGGTAGTCAGTATTCTAGGCTTTGTAGAGCACATGGTCTCTGTCACAACTATGTCATCAATTCTGCCTGTGAAAGAGCAGCCATATACATATCTTAACAACTGAGCACGGCTGTGTTCCAGTAATATTTATTTATGGACACTGAAGCCTGAGTTTCAGATAATCTTCACATCACAAAATATTATTAATTCCTTGACAAAATGGATTCTCCCGGCTGAGCTAAAACAGGTCAGGTACAGGGGTAAGAAATGCTAGTTCCCATCCCCTTAGTCTTAGAAAAAGGCTCTACAGCATTACTTTTATAATTTAGAACTACAAATAAACAAAAGGGCAGAAAATCGTTGTTGCTCACCTCCCCAATGGACTGGGGGACTTTAAGAATCTTCAGGACCAGACTTAGAATACTTAAGTCCTAAACTCTCATCTTACAAATCAAAAACACTGTGACACTAGGGCCCAAAACAAGAACATGACTTGGCCAAGGAAAGTGGCAGAGCTGGTACAGGAATTCGGGTCCACTCCCTCTCAGCTCTGAGGATTCCTTATCCTCAAAGGTAGCTTCTGTTAAAGTCGGAACTCAGGAGTGAGGAGTTCAATATTCCAGCCAAGGAGGTAGGTAAACAAGGTTGCCCTTAGCGCTGGAATAATTATAGACCCAGACTTCAGCCTGTGCTCAGGTCCGGCTCAGGCGTCCAAAGAACCGTTCCAGGCACTCGAGGGGTGATCCCTGGCCCCTCTGCGGGCTGCTTGTCCCAGCTAACAATGGGTGAAAATTGGGGCGAGAAGCTCCGTCTTTCTGCGCCCTCTGAAGAGCTTTCGTGCCTTTATAACCACTGCCTTGGAAGAAAGAGCGCGGAGAAAGGTGCCCACTTCCTAAAAGAGAAACTTGAGGCCGAGCAAGGGTGTCGCGACAGTGCGAAGCGAGATAGCAGCGGAGCCAGCATTCGAACCCCGGTCCCTGAACTCACAGCCCGGACTCTTTCTCACCCCTAACCACAGAGGGACGAAGTGGGGTCGGGATCTCTGGAACCCGCCTCTCGCCAGCAGGCGCCGGAGCTACAGCTCCCGAGGCTCCTAGGAGATGCAGAAGACACCTGCCCGAACAACTGGCTGGCAATGCCACCCTAAAGCGGAGGGGAGGGCGTAGCCTCGCCTTCTTATAGGCTCGCAGCATGTCCGGTGGCGCGCGAGGCCTCCTGGGAAGTGAAGTCCGGAACCCGGGGTGGCCCGCTCCCAATACGCCAAGGTGCTGGCACCCTAACTCCCGTTCCTCCAGGGCGTTTCTTCTCCAAATCCAAAGTCAGGGTCCAGGACTGCTGCGATGCATCAGCCCCGCCCGTCATACTCCATCCTGAGGTGGCGGAAATGTTCAGGTGAACGCCAAGCCTCCCACCACGAGCCTGCCCTCAGCAAGGTCGCGCGCAGCATGGGAGCCCTAAGTCAGCTAGTGGCTACGCTGTGAGGGCCCGGAGCAGGCCGGGCCCAGGACAGCAGAAGCTCCAACATGGCGGCCGGGCTGGCCATAGAGCGGAGAGAGAAAGACTGCGCCCGCGTCCGCCATCTACTTCCGGAATTTAAAGCCGGCTTCCGGAAGCCGGGAGGGTGTCCCCATGACAACCGACGTTGGGGTTTGGAGGTGAGAGTGGTTGACGAAGAGTGGGTTAAGTGACCAGAAGTCAGAATTTTTGGTGCTGTTGTTTTGGGCTTGGGTTTTATGCTTTGTGGTTGTTGTTTGCCAAGGAAGCCCCGTTTTTAAGTGGATTGGGAGGCGTGAGGAATACTTCTCTGGGTACAAAGGGAAGGCGGCAGGTAGCGGTAGACGAATTAAAGAGCTTCATGAGCTTGCGAATCCCCACTGCCCTAAACGGGAGAGGATCGTTGTACGTAGAGAGAGCCTTGGGTGTCTCTGCATAACGGATCCTCAAAACAGCCCTAGTGAGTAGTGGTTAAGAGCACGGGTCTGGCGTCACACTTAGTTATGAAGCCCGGTTCTGCTGACCTCAGACCTGGAGGAATGCCTTGAATTTTGACTCCTGTGTCCGTTCCTGTAGAATGGTAATAATTCTCACCTTGCAGTTGTAGGGAGGATTGAAGGAAATGATCTTGGTTGACAAGATTATCGTGGTGTGGGTACCTATTATTTAATGCAGCCGGGCGCGGTGGCTCACACCTGTAATCCCAGCACTTTGGGAGGCCGAGGTGGGCGGATCATGAGGTCAGGAGATCCAGACCATCCTGGCTAACACGGTGAAACCCCATCTCTACTAAAAATACAAAAAATTAGCCAGCCGTGGTGGCACGTGCCTATAGTCCCAGCTACTCGGGAGGCTGAGGCAGGAGAATCGCATGAACCCGGGAGGCGGAGGTTGCAGTGAGCCAACATCGCGCCACTGTACCCCAGCCTGGCAACAGATCAAGACTCCATCTCAAAAATACTTGTATATATATTATTTAATGAATGTGGGAACCAGTTACATACATCTAGTGGGTGGGACTTCACCAGCTGAGGTGGAGGAGGTGCCTTAACCTTCCAGAGCCTCTGTGTAAAATGGGGATTATATGCATTATAATGGCTTCTTAAGATGGTTGTAGGATTAAGTAAGGTTAGAAATATGAAAAGAGCTTATAAATTGCAAAGCATTTTACAGATGCTAATTTAATCACTAACGGTCCAAAGCATTTTGAAATCTCTTTATAGATCTGGCACAGCAGGAGGGTCATAGGACACCCCCAGAGCAACCTGTGGGTCTTGGAATAGATGAAAAGAAAGACAGCTGCCACTGTGTTGCTACCTTAAACATAAAGCTTTCCAGGAGAGCCCTGTTTCCTCTCTGCTTTTTCTGCCTGTAGGCACTTCACACTTTTGTGCCAGCATGTTTCCTGCCTAAATATCGGTATATCAGTTAAGAAAGAGACAGTTTAGTCCGGTAGTTAAGAGCACAGACTCTGGACCCAGGCTGCCTGCATCTGAATACCAGCTCTGCCACTTACTAACGATGTGACCTTGGACAAATTATTTTACCTCTCTCGGCCTCAATTTTCTTATCTGTAAAATGGGGAAAGTAATAACATATTATTTCATCTACCTCCTGAGGTTTAAATAATGTTTGTGCTTGTAGAACACTCCCTGGCACACTGTAACAGTGTATAAGGATTTGTTGCCATTTTTATTACCAATGCTACTACATGACCAGGCAGTCTTTCTTCTGAGTAATACAACTGGATTCCTTTGGTTAGAGACAGCTCTGCATTTAGAAGGGTCCAGGCATGAAGAAAGGTTGCTGAAGGTCCTAGAAGAAATGACTTCTTGGGGTTTTTTTGGTTGCTGGTTTTGTTCACTAAAGTATCCCATGCAACTGGAATGGTGCCTGGCACACAGTAGGTCCTTAGTGTTTGTGGTATTAGTACATTTCTTTTTTTTCTTTTCTTTTCTTTTGTTTTTGAGATGAAGTCTCACTCTGTTGTCCAAGCTGGAGTGCAGTGGCACAATCTTGGCTCACTGCAACCTCCACCTCCTAAGTTCAAGTGATTCTCCTGCCTTGGCCTCCCAAGTAGCTGGGACTACAGGCATAAGCCACCACGCCCAGCTAATTTTTGTATTTTTAGTAGAGACGGGGTTTCCCTATGTTGGCCAGGCTGGTCTCAAACTCCTGACCGTAGGTGATCTGCCTGCCTTGGCCTCCCAAAGTGCTGGGATTACAGGCGTGAGCCACTGTGCCCAGCCCAGTCTTAATACATTTCTAACCTTGCTTATCTTTTTGCCCCAACAGGTCCTTGCCTTAAAGCAAGGGAAACAGCTCTGATTCAAAGGAACTAGAAGCCTCTCCCTCAGCAGTGGGGAGATAACCAGGAGCTGTTTTCTGGGGAACTGTGGGATGTGCCCTTGGGGGCCCAAGAAAACAGAAGGAAGATGCTCCAGACCAGTAACTACAGCCTTGTGCTCTCTCTGCAATTCCTGCTGCTGTCCTATGACCTCTTTGTCAATTCCTTCTCAGAACTGCTCCGAAAGGCTCCTGTCGTCCAGCTCGTACTCTTCATGTGAGTGCAGTAGGGCATTCTGGAAAGCTGAACCCAAGCAATTCAAAGGCCCTGACAGTCGTGATTTAGTGTCTTAAAGTTATTAATAGGCTGAGTGTGGTGGCTCACGCTCTTAATCCCAGAACTTTGGGAGGCCAAGGCAGGAGGATCTTTTGAGGCCAGGAGTTTGAGGACCTGCTTGGGCAACATAGCAAGACCCTGTCGCTACCTAATACAATTTTTTAAAATTAGCTAAGCATGGTGCCACACACCTGTAATCTCAGTGATTGAGGATGCTGAGGTGGAAGGATTGCTTAAGCTCAGGAGTTCAAGGCTACAGTGAGCCATGATCATGCCACGGTACTCTAACCGGGTGACAGAGAAAGACCCTAACTCAAAAAAAAAAACAAAAACAGAAACTGGTTGTTACTAGATCAGGGAAGATAAAACTTAACATTGTCCTGGGTTTCCCCATGGTATATAGATAGGGTCACAGGTCCTGTTTACATATACTTTTTTTTTTTTTTGAGACAGAGTATGCTCTGTTGCCTAGGTTGGAGTGCAGTGGCGTGATCATGAGTCACGGTGACCTCAGCTTCCTGGCCTCAGGTGATTCTCCCACTTCAGCCTCTCTAGTAGCTGGGACCATAAACTTGCACCACCATGCCTAGCTAATTTTCTGTAGTGGTTTCGCCGTGTTGCCCAGGCTGGTCTTGAACTACTGGGCTCAAGTGATCTGCCCACCTCAGCCTCCCAGAGTGCTGGGATTACAGGTGTGAGCCATTACACCCAACCTTTATATACTTTCTAACGAGGGTTGGAGATAAGGGGAGCAGTTTACATAGGAAATGAGAGTCAGACTGCTGACCCTGTCATTTTCTCCATTTGTGAGTAGAAATATTGTCTACCACAAAAGAGGATTACAAAATGGCAGGACAAGCCAGGCACGGTGGCTCACGCCTGTAATCCTAGCACTTTGGGAGGCTGGGGTGGGTGGATCACCTGAGGTCAGGAGTTCAAGACCAGCCTGGCCAATGTGGTGAAACCCCATCTTTAAATAAGAAATTTTAAAAATGATATTAAAAGAAAAAAAAATGGCAGGACAACCATATTACTATATATGCAAATCCCGTAGGATGGAAACTGTTAGCATTAATTCTCCACAATTTATAGACTCCATGAGGCAATCTCTAAGCTGAAAACCATAGTCTTAGACATGATCTTTCTTCATTCTACAAATATTCATGGGCCTAAACCCATGACAAGTGAACCTGACAAGTTCCTGCTCTTGTGGGGTTTCCATCCTAGTGGAGAAAGACAATGAATACACAGAGAGAAATAAGATCATTTCAGATAGTGATATCATACAGTCGATGTGGAGTCATTGGGGTAAGGAGAGGAGGGTTACTTTTGGTAGTGGGGTTAAAGGAATGTCTTTCAGAACAGGGGACATTTGAACTGCAACTTGAATGGCACAAAGGTACTAGCCATGCAAAGATCAGGGAAGTACATTCTTATCTTGCTAGATGAGATTGTCTGACAGGACCAGGTTATGTAACAGACAGGGCTGGCATTTTTTTTTTTTTCTTGTTTTGAGACAGAGTCCTGCTGTGTTGCCCAGGGCTGGAGTGCAGTGGTGCGACTCA